GCGGTCTCAATGCGATATGTACAGGCATTAGACACACTGCGGTATGTTCGTGCCCAGCTGAATACACCGGCTACGCTCTTGTTCGTTGCGATCGTATCACAATCCCGGACGTGAAACCAAAACCAGAATGCGAAAATGATGAGCAGTGCCCTGATAATGCAGCGTGCATCGATTTCCGATGTGCAGCAGTATGCGGCCAGAATAACTGCGGCCTGAACGCGCAATGTATCGCACGCCGACACAGAGCTCGCTGTACTTGCTTGCCGGGCTACGAAGGTGACGCATATTCGGGATGCTACTCCGGTACGTGCTTCATTTTCCTTTTAGAATGGAATATAACCTAAACTTTAAACTGTTTAGACATCAATATATTAAGATTTATATAAAAAATATTTCCAATTTCAGTTCAATGCCATAGCAATAACGACTGTCCCGACGATGAAAGCTGTGAAAGCGGATCATGTATCAAAGTTTGTTCGCGATTACGTTGTGGAACTGAAGCTCATTGCGTGGCGCGCGGACACAGCGCGTCATGCGAATGTAATCCTGGTGCGCAAGGAAATCCATGGACCTCGTGCCGCAGGGACGAATGCACAATGGACGAAGATTGTCCGACATGGCTGGCTTGTAGAGCAAAGACATGCCAAGACCCCTGTCCCGGTGCTTGCGCGCAAGGCGCACAATGTACTGTCATGCGTCATGCACCGATTTGCGAATGCCCACGAGGAACCCAAGGCAATCCTAGAATAAAATGTGAACCTGGTAAGTTAAACTAATGTAACTTTTTTATTGTTTAATATACTACTTCTCTGAATGGTCTTATGACCCCACATTTTGATGATTATTTTTGTGTTTATTCGAATAGGTTGGATTGGTTTACAATCATTCTGTCTTAATTCTATAAAGTTTGTAACCACATACTTAGTAGTTTGGAGAACAATCAGATTGATAATTGTTTTAGTCCAAGCTGACGTGGAGTGCGGAAGCGATGCAGAGTGCGGCCCCGACCTCGCGTGCCTGCGCGGCGTGTGCCGGGACCCATGCGACGAGACGTCGTGCGGTGCCGGTGCCATTTGCAGCGTCGCTAACACCCTGCCTTTCCGCACCCTCGTCTGCCAATGCCCTAAGCCTCTTACTGGAGACGCGTCTGTTCAATGTGTGCCAAGTATGTACAAACATGTATATTTAGACAATCACACCAGACGCAAATACTTATACTACTTACATATTTTTAACAAGGAATACTTTCTAGATAGCTTTATTTACAGGTAAAAATTAACTCAGCCGATTGAAAATATTCGCATTTAGAAATGTAGGTACAGCATAGGTAGGCATGTATGGATCAATATTTTTTGCTTTCGTTGTACATATTATGTGTACATATACAAATTTACACACACAACTTGTATATACAACCAACAACTTGTAATTTTGTTAATGAGCATGTGTTCTGTAATGTCCGGTTCACCCTAGGCCATCACAGTTGGACAGTTGCGCCGCGTCAGCTAGGCATAGATTGTATAGACTTATTGCCGCCAGTTAGTCCACACTATGTTAGTCGATTGCCAGTTATCGAGCGATACTGACCAACTATTACTGGCAAGGTGTGAATCGTGCATTAGACTAACATAATTTCTGGTGTATATTTATAAAGCAGGAATAAGAAATGTAACATAGTTTTAATATACTACACAGACAAATTGGGAACCACCTCCTTTTGGAAGTCGCTTAAAAAATACTCTGAATGGGTACAGTCAGCGAAAAAGTCAGGTTTATTATGATCGCTGCACTCCGTTATGTGATACATTGCAAAGCTACTTGTATTATTTGTATTTCTAGGCTGTCATAAAGAACTCCTTAAAATTGCAATGTTTAACTACTCATTAATCGATACATCTAACTAACAGGAGCACAATGCGAACAAGACAATGAATGCGGTGACGAGGAACGGTGCGTGAGCGGGCGCTGCGTGGCGGTATGTGACGAACGAGCCTGCGGCGCGGGCGCTGAATGTCGCGCGCAGGCACACCGCGCTGCGTGCCGCTGTGTGCCACCGCTCCAAGGCGACGCCAACGTAGCCTGCACACCGGGTATGTAAAACAATATTTTTAGACTAATTTAAAGATATC